TACTGGGCTGTGGGGGCGGGACTCTAGTGGAGATCTGCTCAGGGATTGGTCTGTTCTGCCTGTCTGTCCTCTGACTGTCCTCTTCTCTCCAATCAGAAACCCCAGTGTGTATCTTACTGGGCTGTGGGGGCGGGACTCTAGTGTAGATCTGCTCAGGGATTGGTCTGCTCTGCCTGTCTGTCCTCTGACTGTGCTCTTCTCTCCAATCAGATGCCTGTCAGCTCACACTGGACCCCAACACAGCGCACAGACACCTGCGTCTGTCTGAGGGGAACAGGAGGGTGACCTGGAGCAGGGAGCCCCAGCAGTACCCCGATCACCCCGAGAGATTTGATTCAGAATTCCAGGTGCTGTGCAGAGAGGGGCTGTCTGGGACCCACTGTTACTGGGAGGTGGAGTGGAGAGGGATTGATATTGATATAGGGGTCACATATAAAGGACTCGGCAGGAGAGGATGGGGTGACAGATCTCTTCTTGGACGCAACGACCAGTCCTGGAGTCTGTACTGCTCTCGGTCCAGCTGCTCCTTCTGGCACAACGGCAAGAAAACTGCAGTAGCTGCCCCTCCCTCCTCCAGGATAGGGGTGTATGTGGACCACAGGGCTGGGACTCTGTCCTTCTACAGCGTCTCTGGGGACACAGCGACCCTCCTGCACAGAGTCCAGGCCTCCTTCACGGCGCCCCTCTACCCCGGGGTCAGGTTTGGTCCTCATGTTTGGTTTGGTTTCAACTTTGTTGTCCCCAGTGTGTCTCTGTGTGAGCTGGAGTAGAAAGAGGAGAGGAAACAGCAGGTAACTGAGCACCTGTCTCTCACACTGAGGAGCAGTTTCTCCATTGACCTGTGTCCTTCCTGGAGCTGGAGACTCACCCAGCATCACTGTCGATTCAAACTTCTCATTTGAGGCTGTGAGGAGAGCTGTCTCTGGACTGAAAGAGCGACTGGAGGACATCTGGAATGGAGAATCAATCAAGATAATGCAAAAAGGTCAGTTAAAACAGAGTGACATTTCAGTAGAAAGACATGCTTTGTCACTTTCTGCTTTCCATACGTAAAGCCTTTGGATTTCAAGCAGTCAGGAGTGAAGACAAACCCTTTGTTTCGAAGCCAGGCCAGTAGTGAGCAAGCTTTTGTGTTCCCTAACTGGCATCCAGCTTTAAAAAATACCTTGTTTTCAGACAATTTGGATTCTTCATAAGAAAGTTGTCTTTGGCTCTCAGTCAATTGTTTGTGTTTTATTCCATGAATCAAAACTCTCCGTGTCATGCTTGATGGAGTGGGAGAGAACCTGACAAAGGGGGAGTTTGTCGGGTATATTGGCTGTTGTCAGAGTCTCTCTCTCTGTCTCTCTCTGCATCCTCAGTGAAGGACATCAGCATCGTGCAGGCAGCAGAACCCAGGACCAGAGCAGAGTTCTTACAGTGTGAGTCTGAGCTAAACTCCACCTGGAACAGCTTCACTGACACACAACTACACACACCCTCACAGACACACTTTTGTGTATCTTACTGGGCTGTGGGGGCAGAACTTTAGTGGAGATCTGCTCAGGGATTGGTCTGTCCTGCCTGTCTGTCTGTCCTCTGACTGTCCTCTTCTCACCAATCAGATGCCTGTCGGCTCACACTGGACCCCAACACAGCGCACAGACACCTGCGTCTGTCTGAGGGGAACAGGAGGGTGACCTGGAATGAGAAGACCCAGCCCTATCCCAACCACCCTGGGAGATTCGACTGCTATTACCAGGTGCTGTGCAGAGAGGGCCTGTCAGACAGACGCTGTTACTGGGAGGTGGAATATACTGGCAAAGTGGATATAGGGGTCACCTATAAAGGAATCGGCAGGAAAGGAGAGGGTGATGGATGCATCCTGGGATATAATGACAAGTCCTGGAGACTGAACTGCTCGGAGTCCGGTTACGCCGTCTGGCACTGTAAGAACGAAACTCCAGTAACGGCTCGGCACTCCAACAGGATCGGGGTGTATGTGGATCACGAGGCGGGAACCCTCTCCTTCTACAGCGTCTCTGACCAAATGATCCTGCTGCACAGATTCCAGACCTCCTTCACTGAGCCCCTCTATCCCGGCTTCTGGGTTCGATGGAGTGGCTGTGGTGTGAAACTGCTGTCATCTGTAACACAGGAGGGCTGATCTCTGCCCGCCCCCGGTCCAGTGCCTCAGCGGCCGGCTGGATTGATTTTTTCTCCTGGACTTGGTTTTCACACTACAAATGACCTCCTACAGAATGACACATCCTCCGGGAATTCTTGTTGGGCTGCAGTTTGGTTCCAGGTCACAAGTCGGCAGGTCTTTTCTAAAAGAGTCGTTTTCTAAAACTGGATCGTGAGAGCTTTCTAATCGCCTATAACTGCAGGTTCCAGTCTGAGACTGAAGCACGATGGATTTGAGAAAGTTTCCATTTTTGTTCATTTTTCCCTGCTGACTAAAACCCTCGCTGAGCACAGTGGAGAGTCAGCAGGAAGCCTCAGAAAGTCAGCCAGCAGGAAGCAGGAAGCCTCAGAAAGGAAGTCAGCAGGAAGCAGGAAGCCTCAGAAAGGAAGTCAGCAGGAAGCAGGAAGTCTCTGAACCTGACCTGGACAAAGGGATTGTTCCATCGGAAATCTCCTGGGATTGGGAAAAGGAGATTTCCATGCAAATCCTAATTAAACAGTTCACATAGTGTAGCTCTCAGAGAGGAGAGATGCGTCTCACAAGTACTTTCTCCTGCCGCTGTGGCTGAAGACATCACAGTGCGTCATCAGCCTCTGCTCTCCTGGAGCGAGATTCTTCTCGGTGCTGTTAGATCTAATCTGAGACAGGGGGACAATACGGATTCAGGAAGGACATCCCGAGAGGGGCCCAGCCTGGGACTGTGGCTCATTTCAGTGCCTTGAGCCACAAAGTCTGCACAGGAAGTGGCCTCCCAGCTTTAGGCCAACATGTATTTTTGTGGAATGAAGGAAAAGCCAGGACTCGGCTCAGGCTTTAACATTCAGCTTTAAGGCCGTTAGAAAACAGGACAGGAGGGACAGGCTGCTTCAGGGCTCTCAGCAGCAGCTGGTAGAAATAAGTTTGGTTGAAGGTAAAAGCATCAGCATGAACTGGGAACAGAGGAAATTAATGAGCAGTTATGATGCAGCTTTAAAACCTCAAATTCCAAGCTCCTGTCTCTCCCTGTTATATTAACTTGAATACAGCAAGGTCTTTAATGTTTTCTTTAGCATTTACAATAACTACAGCAATGTCAGATATAACCACAAGTTA